TTTCTGTTTTTGGTGTCAGTTTAAATCTGTCAGATGTAGGTGGTCCAGTGTTGTTTGCTTGTTTTGTAGGCAATTTTGTTTACATGCTTTATCCTATCACCCATACAGATCAGTTGGTTCCAAGTTAAGTGGAGCATGCTATGCAGTTAGATTTATGCTGCACATCAGCAACACTGACACTCTCAAATCAATTTACTTTGCTTACTTTCACTCCCTAATGAAGTATGGAATAAATTTGGTGGTAATTATCTGACTTCATCAGACTAGTCTGACATCATTCAGCTTAGTATCTTGAAATTTCCTTGTATTATCTTGTTAAATTATGTTGAGTCCTTAATCATGTCCCTCCACGATCTGATTATAACTGAGTTGATGGATTTGTAGTCTATACCCAAGCTTACGCTAACATGTTTGCTTTTGTCGCCCGTTGGTTTTCAACAACCAACAGAGGAAATCTCTATGCTATAATGTTAATTTTAATTTAATTTTATTCCAGCCCGTTGGATATTACCAGTTTTAAATATCTGTTTAATATACTTTTAAAGTGGTATAAAAACACAACTACTTAAGCTGCATATATAAGGGTGATTAACAAAAGGGAAAGAAGCACACCATATTTTTCAGTTTATTGTAACACACAATGATAAGTACATGTATGGATCCATATAAGGTAAGGTTGTCCCTGTGCTCAACAAATTAAGCACTACACTGTAAGGGAGTATGGGGGAGTGGATGTATTGAGCCACATTTTCTTGACCTTGGCACTAGATGGAGGTCAGTGGTCAGCTTCGCGCTCCAGCCACTTTACCCCGAGGGGAAAGAGCCCCTGGTCCCCATTGGATAGCAGGTTGGGTGGACCCCGGAGCCGGTCTGGGCGATTTGGAGAAGAGAAAATTCTTGACCCTACCGGGACCAAAATCCGACCCCTCAGTTTTCGAGTCCATAGCCAGTCGCTATACATAAGAGTTCAGAACAGTTCAGTCAAATGAGCTAGTCCCATAAATATCATTCACAAAATATTTATTCACCATTTCTAAGAGGAGATTAAACCCCAGTCACCCTGGAATAGGCCACATATATGTGGGTCATTTCATAAATAATGCACAGGTTGGCAACACTGCGGATTAGATGATGCAACAACAATGAGCCTCATGTCAGTTACAGTTCAGGGTTTGAGAAGGAAGTGCGTTATTTTGTTTCATTTATAATGTACTCTGTTCTTAAATAACGTGAGTTATAGAGTTATGGAGCCTGCACAGTTCTCTGGTATTGTGACTGTTGAAGATCAAAGGTCGTACATTAAGATCGAAACTTTACATGGAAAAAACCGGACAGAACTCCACAGTGCTTTAAGTGAAGTTTGTGGCGGAGCTGAAATCACAGTCCAACGAGTGGAGAGGTCCATCTTCGCCATGACCAAAAAAATTTTGACGATCTCAATCAAAGGTCAAACAAATGATGATCTTTGCTTATGATCACCAAGGAATCATCATGACAGACAGAGTTCCGTGTGGGAAAAGTGTGACAGCAGTTTATTATCGTGACTTTATGCAAAATCCGCACAGAAAAATGCACAAAAATCGACCTCAGATGCTCGAGGCTGGGCCGATCATTCTCCATGACAACGCTCATCCGCACATCGGGAATGTCCTAACAGAAAAGCTGCACCAATACGGTTGGGAGGTGTTGCCTCATGCTCCCCACAGCCCGGACATGAGTCCACCAGACTTCGACTTATTCTCAAAGTTGAAACAACCTATGTGAGGTCGTCGTTTTCCCTCTCTGGAAGAGCTTTCTGCTGCAGTACCTGAGCCATTCAACAGATAAACAAAGATGGTGTCCTGGATGGAAGAGTAAAGCTTCCCACACATTGAGAAGCAGGGGGACTATATTGAAGGAATGTAAAGAGATATAAAAAAATAAACATGGACGTAAACAAAAAATTATGTGAATTATTTCTGAAATGACCTATGTATGAGGGTAAGTCAATAAGTAAGTTACAAATGGATATAGAACTTAAACAAATAAAAGTACTGATTTGAAAAATGCTTTTATTTCTCAACATAAACTCCCTGTACATTGAGGCACTTGTCCCATCATTTAAAGAAATGGGTCAAATATGATGTGAAAGCTTATCACTATACAAAAACTAACCAATAATACCAAGAAAAAATATTTACCAACACAAAGATAGGTTAGATCAAATGTAGCAGCGGATATCACTGAACAATTATCAGAGCACAAGAAAACCATTAGCAAATCATTTACTTTTAGAAATGAGGATTATCTCATAGGACTAAATGGGGTGGACATATCATCCCACATGTTGAAGAAATCAGTACATACACAATTAACAAAGATTGTACTGCTCAGTCAGGTCCTACTCAGAATTACTGAGTTTTTGGACTCTTTCCATCATTCAGTATTCTAGAAAATAGAAAACGTGATTTTTCAGAAACTGGATCTGTTTCAGTCCTCAGGTGAGGGGGGTGAAGACATCTACTCAGTTGAGTCCCTTAGAAAAGGATAACCTCAATCACTGGACAACTAATCTTGATTCATTGTGACTAAAGGTCAGCGCTTTCTAAGGGACCCAACTGAGTAGGTGTCTTCATACCCCTCACCTAAGGACAGAAACAGATCCAGTTTGTGAAATGTCGTGTTTTCTAGTTTCTAGAATAATGGACAGTGAAAAACACTATCAGAACCCTTTAGAACCAAGCCCTACTGCATGTACAGATCTTAAACTACAAAACATAATGTAGGAACCTGAGATTCCGAAATGCTGCAGACATATGATTATGCACAAGATAAGTTTCCTAATACTGTTATACTGGCTGGGGACAGCATTACTGAACCCAATAGATCGAACCCATCTCCATGTACCATTGTACACACCTTATGAAGGTAAAACTATCCCTGTAAGAGCTTGCACAGGCCCAAACGGTTGTGAGACGTTTAAGCTCCCATACTTTCTAGACAATTAACTCACAGATGGCGGTAAGGCTGCCCTTTACCCCACGGAAGATTCCTGGTATATGCATTTCTGATAGAGGCTGAGTTAAGGTAAGGGCCACTGTGCACCTGGAAGGATCAGGTCAATTGAAAAATTCAATGGCCTCATTGAGAATCAAACTTGTGACTTTCCGGCTTGTATCACAGTACCTCAACCAACTACACTACTGTGTGGCCCTCATGCACCCCCCCTCCACCCCCAAAAAGAAAGAAAAATGAAGAAAAGAAAAGAAATAATGCAAGAGGGCTCCAAACTTGTATTAACCTGCCAGAAATAGTTGCTGGAAGATATGCTGTCACACTGCAAGTGTACTGTTAGTTCCATCTCTTGCGGAGCTGGGGGGGGGGCAGTATTATCAGTTTATGTCAGCGTGGGTACTACCACTTTGGAATGTAGTGTCTTGGAGTGTGTCCAGGCGTATGGTACGTTGTGTTGCTTGTTAGTTGGTCTCCGTAGGCAATGTTTTCCACTCGGGGAGTAGCTCTGAACGTCACCACAGCAAGCGTACAGCTTTGGGTGCTCCACAACAGCGTTTAACTTTCCGCGCGGCTAAAGTTACGAGGCACAAACTATATACTTCATATAAACTTCATGTTTCAGGTTCATTTTGACAGTATGGAACAAATCTAACACTCTAGTGAGCATTTCAGAACACAGAGAGCACACATTGCATGGTGTTGACTAATTTTATTCCATGTTAGGTGTGGTCTTTGGTGCCTCTTCAGTCTGTGGACAGAGGTGATGGCCCCCAGACATGGAGGATAACTGAGAACATATTGAATAAGCAGTTTAAGGAGCTTCCTGGTATGTACTATTTCACAGATGTTATTGTAATAATCAAATTAAGGGTGACATAACACATATGGGAAAGAGAGAAATGTGTACAAGTTTCAGCATGAAAACCTGAAGGAAACCACCTGGAAGAAACAGGCACAGAATCTCAAGGACTTTTATTCTGCCAGTTTGCTTCTTGTTTGTTACACACAGCTGACAAGTGGAGTTGCAGCCTAGGGGCACACTAGGATGCTAACAATTCCTTACCATAAAAACCGCCATGTTATGAAATGGGAACTGAATCTGGATTGCTCTTTTCAAATAAATTTAACAATAGAAATTGGACATGAGATCTGAATGTCAGAAACCATTATACGTCAGGTTTACTGAAAATGGAAGCAAGGGCATTATAGCAGAGTACGTTTTGGATTCAGTGGGAGCACAGAGAGTCAGATGGGGAAAGGGTGGCACTGAGCCATCAGGCAATTCTACTCTTTTCTATGGAAATGGGAATGAGAATCATCACTTAGGGGCAGGCTTTCTCTTTCTTGTACATAAGGGTATCATATTAGTAGTTAAGATAGTAAAGTTTATTTATTATACAGAGGATTTCATTCACTCAAGTGTGTGCCTGTCATTTGTGCGTGTGCATGTGTACATAAATGCTCAAAATGATTTGATCAATGATGGAAAGTTAAATTGCACTGGTCACTGAAACCAAGCCAAATGAATTAAGTAGTCTCAACAATGTAAAGCATGAAAGTAGCATTGAGGAGGGGGAAGGATATCTGAAAGACAAAATTAATGAGCTTGAACTGAGTTGTAAGAAAGAACAAGAGTATTAGTGACTTGTACAAAGGAATAAATGAATGAATTTAAGAAGGGTTACCAACTTTTACAATAACTAACTCAGAATACGATGAGGATGGTGACTTGCTTGCAGATTCCCCTCTATATTTCAAATTTTATGTGCAAGAATTTAACTATGGTTTAACAGTAGCAGTGGTTGTTTAATGTAAAATGAACATGAAAAGATCTGGTGACTAATTCTGTTCCACCACTTGCAACTTGTGAAAATTTGCTGTACTTGTAAATCTTCATTACAACAACAAAAACAACCTGAACTTCATTTCCAACCATAAAACTGATTCACTCACATCCCTTCTCCGATGCACAATGGGCATGGCACTATTGCAGTCAATCTTTCTACCTGTTGGGCTTTACACCCATTTCACATAAGACATGGGGCAGCAGCTGCAGCAGATCTTCAGAACTCATGTTGAAGTCACTCTCCACCCAGTGTTTCTTCAGGATATCTACCACCTGGCCCAAGCCCTTCCCCCCTGCAAGCATACATATCAAAGTTGCCTGTCAGCCATCTGCATGAACACAGAAATATTATCTGGCAACATATGTTCAGCACTGGCAAGTTCCTGCATGATAATGGGGGGCACCATGCTCTTGTTCCCTCAGTACTCAGCACAGAAGACATCATTTAGCTACAAGAGCTTGTGTACATAGTATTCTTAATACACTGTGTGCTTTAGTCCAAAAGCAAAACATGCTCAAAATGGGTCCACACCATTACAAAGAATAATGCTGAAATTCTGCTCTAGATAAAATGTTCCCAATGCTTTCTTTGTAACTTCATGATACAAGGCCTTGAAATGTCCTAATTCTACAGACAGCTTGTCATAGCTCACCACTCAATTCACTTCTATCAAGCACCAATTCACTGTTATCCCAGTTGTAAATATAATCATTTGAAAATTAAAGAATGATGCTTGTGATCTAGCAATCTTTTCCATTCCACAGACCCAATTGCTTCATTTCTCAATCTGTGTTTGCCCCTCAGAAAAAGAGACCACACATATGGAACAACAGGTAAAACTGGAGTAACATCTATGTACCCAAATGTGAGACAAGATATTTTTATGCTTGGACATTGTAATGAGGCCATATAACACTGTTCTCTCCCCTTCAAGTCAAGGTTAAGAAATCATGCATAATTTAACTCTATGAAACCAACACTCAAACAACATACATATACAATGCTTACAGCACGGCAGTGTCTGAGGGCTGAAGCTGTAAGATGTGTACACACTGTGTCCATATTCATTTGTGTGGGAGAACAGCCACACTACTACTGTGCTGCCTGTCATGCCTCAGAGGTTACAGCAATGAACGGAGTGGACTGAGTGATGAATACAGTAAACCTCAACTAATCTGGTTACAGTTAATCCGGATGTCAGTTTCTTCAAATCTGCATTATTATGTTCAAAAACAAGCACAACTTTGAAGTTTTCTATTGATGAATAAATGTATTGTCTTTTTATAGTTTTTAAATAAAAGACTCTACACTGATCATTTTTTATTTATTTTCATCAGCACTATTTAGATCATTAAATTTTCCGTTTATCTGGGTTCTCAGATTTTAGGGCTTTTAGGGCTATCTTTTGCTTCACTAATCCACTTTATTGCATAATCTAGATGACCTTCCCCCCCATTAATCTGCATTAATGAGGGCTTATTGTAATGACTTGAAAATGACTGGAAGGGTGCAGTCATGTACATCATGAATTTATTATCCCACCACTCACTTGTAGGGGGCTGTGAAAAACCATGAAATACCTAAGTCTGGGCAGCTGGTATCCCAGCCGAAGTTTGAACCAAACACTTACTTCTAGAATACAAACTGGAAGAGCTATCAGTACACCAACTAACTCAGCTGAATACTGTGGTATACTGAATAGGTGACCATGTTTAAAAGAGAGGCTCTGTAGTGCCACAGATATTGGATGGTGTGTGCTGAAGCCACAACAAGACCTTTCACATTAGAAGTCATGCAGCACAACAATTAATCATCATCACACTAAATGTCTAACAGAAGAACCTGAAAGAACAACTAAAGATTGTAATTCCATGTGAAAAGCATTTCAAAGTTCCAAGCAAGGATGATACAAGTGCTTTAGATTGTGTTTCAGAAAAGTAAAGATGAGCTGCCTGCTTCATGGGACACAATATGTATGAAAGCAAAATACTACAATAGGTATTTGAGGGCAAGTGTTGAATTTGAGCATCAGGTTCATGTGGTAAAATGGCCTGCCTACAGGAGAAAAATATTAGCTCAGAAGTTTGTTTCTCATGGACTATGTATGACGAGAAGTTAGTTTGTGCCAGAAACATGACTATGTAGTATCCCAAAAATTAAACAGGCTATGCAGGTGTAACTCCTGTGTATTGTTTTATATGCCTACCAGCTCCACACAACTGTTCCTTGTGGCAGTGTTACTATTGGTTGTCAGAAAGTTACAACAGTGATGATCTTCCACACTAGTTGAGGTGACTATTGATGGAATTATACTTAATCCAACAAGAAAGGATAGGCAACCAAAGAAATAATGATTCAGTAGCCTGGCACCCCCTCCAAGCAAGAGGGGAATGCCTGTTCTATGTGCTTTTCTGAGACATGTAAGAGACAAGGTGAAATCCTGAACTTTCCATGATCATGCTTGGATACATGATACAGTATCTGTACTCCAAGTTCTTTATGTGACAGCTAACAAAGCATTCAAAGCTTGTCTGTGTCACCTGTATGGGGAATGGTTGCTGTCCAGAACCTACCCACCAATTCCACTGAAGCAATGCTTGGGGACTGAATAAAGACTGAACAGGAAGGCATCTCATTTGAGTCAAATGTCCACAGACTGCAGAAGTGCTGAAAGCACAAGCAAACATGGATGGAACAGAAAGACACATCAGGTGGACAGGAAGTAATTCAGGCAGATCATTGAATGAAGAAGAAAAAGCTTCAATATGACATTTTTATTTGTGACGTTAATTGATGCAGTTTGTTAAACATTACTTAATCTCTCCTTGTGCTAATCAAATATATACTGGAACACTGCTAGATGTATTTAACTCCAGAATGCATACCCTCACAGACATGGAAACCTGGCCAGTTCTAATAGTGATATAAAGAATGTAGAACTTTAAAAGGGGGTCATCATATATACAGGTATATATGGTAGTTTAACGAGACTGAATAATCAACAAACCGAGAGCTAGGGGCACCACTCATCAGCCACCTTCTCCTCCTGTCCTCAGTAAGTAACCACCACAGCTTCAGTGTGTGTTCTTAGACAGTGACCTCATTTTTAAAGTTTCAAAAGCATGAATTAACTTGGGACTGGCAGCCCAAGCCACCCATGACTGTCAGTTATCTCACCTGGTGCACCTTTCTCCTTCAACATGTAACCATTCAGGGGGAATCTGGGCACACTCCACTGTTCGAACTCTTTCAGCAGGGTTTGATCACCCCTGTATTTGAGCACCTCACACACCCACTCCTTTGTGTCATGGGTTTTCCCTTTGCTGTTGACAACCAGCAGCTGGTAAGGCCTAATGACACGCAAACAAGCATTAGATTCTTCCAGAGAACAGATCTCATTTAAACAAAGATCATCCATTATTGTTGTTTAGGGAAACAACCCCCTGGGAACCTTTGAATATGAATACCATTCCATTACAGAGGCAATCCTGTCCCTTCATTATTTCATTACTTCATTACTTACACATACTTCCCTTCAACAATTAACCTGAGTTCTCATGAAAATTGATATGAATATCATGCAATATGGTCAATAGGCTCAACAAGAAGTTTTGAAGGAAAATATTAAAATGGATCTGGTCTTCCCACTAACCTCAGAGGTTTCACAGAAGGTTTATCTCCACGGTGCTCAACCACAAACAGACCAAGGTCCCTCTCATACGATGACAACTTGACACGAGAATGGAACTTCATTACCTGTAAGGAAAGCGAGAGACTCAAAACTGATAACCAGTTCCTGGAACTTCTGACATGTTAAAAGGAATGCTACTGTTAAGAATACCCAGAGAATTAAAGATGTTTCTATTATAATATCTGTAACAATTTAATTCCAAATGCAAACACAACAAACACACACACACACATAGAATTCACATTCTAGTGCTCTCTTATACTTGGCTGTGGAGACATTTGCACGCATGACATGTTGGTATAAGTATATATTGTATCTACATTTTAACTCTTGTTTTAGACTTGTTACATGAAGAAACGATGCACAGAATCACTTGTAAACCCTGCTTCTGAAATAATGCAGAGAAGACAGAATTGAGAGGAAGGATACAATGTGATTACCTTTGCTGTGAATGTGTGGTATATACTGTGCCAAAGTATATCAAATATGCCTGAAGGGTAGACTTGAAGTAAGTTTAAAACAAACCACTAACAAAACAGTTAGATATTCAGGAAACAGTGATGCATCTGTGGATTGACACAGCCTCCTCAAAACACACAATGAAGAAAAGTCTGCATATGCTTTTCACAAAGGAAAGAAACTAACTTACCTGGATTCTGGTAATACTGTTTGATAGTGTTAAAATGTGTACAAGAATCAGGCAATATAATTGTAGACCTAGGAATTCCATCCAAGTAGAAGACATGTACAGTCATCCTCACAAGTCCTGACCAGCCACAACAGACAAGGTACTGCTGAGAACAGCACTGCCTAGTTGGTCAATAAAAAGCATGACAGATGAGTCACAGTTGGAGTCTACCCCTATTCAGTCTGTGATGACTGAGGACTGAATAACAAGAATCTGGCAGCTAATTATAAATGACTGTAAACAGTTATAAACAAGATGACGTAAAGCTAAATAAAGAACCACTTACAGCCAGAACCCAATTCCAAGTGACGCTAGTGTCAGAAAAGGGACAGCACACTAACTGGAAGTCGACCTGAAGATACAATGACTGATGGCCATTATTAAAGGCCAGTCAAGAAGAGGTACGAGACACATACACAGCAAGAGTTCAGGGCGCAACTGGTGACAGCTGAACTACCAGTTAAGCTGTTTGTGAGTGGTAGGACCACCCCATGGGAACACAGTGCTGCAGGACCGAGAGACCTGCATGCTGGAGTGTGGGAACAACACCTCAGGAAGGCCTGCTGACAGGAATGCCCCCAAAAAGGACCTGACAAATGGGCAGGGGATTGATGTGAAAGAGGAGAAGCTGACCCTGAGGTGGCATCATTTGAAAATATGAGCGCTTTTCATCACTGAGTTTGCTAATGACATGGGGCTGGATGTCTTGCATGCCTGTTACACCTCCACAGGTTTGAAGTACTGAGCGCTACAGCCTGGAAAAGGAAAAGCCTGTTATGGTTACCTTGGAAGCAATCTCCCCCCACCATAAAAAGGTGAAGCAGTGAGGTGGGACAACACCCTGGGAATGTTGCGGTAGCCTAATGGGGCCAGGTTCAAAGCCTGTGCACCAAGGAGTGTATAGGGTGAGGATGGATGCCAATTCAACGATGGCAAGATGGCTAAAGACAGCCACAGATAATAGAGGTAGGCCCTACAGAGGGCCATGTTGGGTGGAATGCACTCAATGTAAGTGGGACCAGCTGGATGACAGCAATGTGGAACTAGTTCTTTCTACATGAGGTCAAAAAGCTGGTTAACATTTGAAATGAGGGGATATTGCTGGACACAGCCCCAACCACAAGAGTTCAGGTTTCATGCATCAGTATGGCATCGCACCACCTTATGCAAGGTTAATCCTACCAGGAAGGACCCCTTTCAGAAGAGATGTAAGGGTAATATATCAAGGCAGAAATGTGACATGACATAAGAAATACAGAAGCCTTCAGAATGCTGGAACCATGTCACTGCTGGAGCCCACTCCTGTTCAGTTAGTGACAACAGAGCACTAAGAAACAAAGCTAGTAGAGTCTAGCAGCTAACTGCAAATGACTGTAAACAGTTAGAGGAAACCATCTGTGGTGCCAAATAGATCCATTTCTGACCAGAACCCACAGTGTAGTATTTTTCACATGACAATAATCTGGTCCTTTGGATTATATGATACTATACTGTATGATGGTATGTGGGTACCAATGTTCCAGGGAACATACTGCCTCCATCTTCAAGATAGGACCTTCACTGATAGCACCAGTCAGTCATCTGTCAACTTTTGATACAAGACATTTCAGCATCATCTTCATGTATAATGTGATGCTGCAAATAACGGGACAGGAGACGAAGTGGAAAAAGTGTTACCACTGATAAAAGACCTGCTGATCATAACCAGGAAAATGTGACCTAAAACACCTGCTGCTGGTGATTAGAATGTGGTGAAGGGAGAAACTTAACTATATAAAGCCTCTTTACAGCTACAGTAAGCTATATAAAAATGTCACAGTACAGTCACAAAATAAGCTGTGAAAAGCTTCCCAACTGCAACCACATTTTGTGAAACATCTATTATAATAAAACTGACTTTCTAACTTTCCAAACCTGTGCATAGATTTCACTACATTTAAAATAATTCTTGAAAGCTCAGCAAGTAGGCCATGACCCCCTGGAAGGTTGCGATCCACAGCTGGAGGAAATCTGCTTTAATCCCTCAAATCACAGTGGCTACTGATATACCACCTGCTTTAACATTAAAAATCTCTGCAATTTGTCCGAACAGTGCACTGTGTAAGTCTCAGAATGAAACATCGATAATTTCTCTAAGCAGCATTAACCAACCAATCAGTCCTTACAATAGATATGCAGTGTGCTTCCTGTGAAGCAGAAACTGAACTTACAACGTTATTTGGTTGAGGGCACACCAAGGAAACTGGAAACTGCAGCACAACTGCAATTTCTGAGAACTGTTATCAGCCTCAACAGCTTGTGAAGAGACTGAGAAACTCAACTTCCAGGCAACAGAGCATGCCAGTCTTCTCACAATTGCATTTCCATGTGGTCAGCTGGTGTCAGCTGTTCCATAACGCACTTCAGCGATTCATTTGTTTCTTAAGATGGCATGAAAAGTTGAAGCTGCTAATTTTGTTTTTGTGCCATCAACTGAGCAAGAGCCTGGTGTATATGACAAACGCCACCCAGACTATGCTACGCAGGACCAAATAGATTTAGCTTGGGAAAGAATTTCTCATGAGATGAAGGAATTTGGATCCAGGTTAAGTTCTTTTGAAACAATATAAGCAACTCAGTTTAAACTGTCACAGAAGAATGGATGCACCCATGCATCTTGTTGCATTAATATCTCATTTATTTCACATATATTTCTGTTTTAAAGACAACTTCTTATACAGTCACCCTTCCACATTACATGATTAGGCTGTATATGTCATTATCAGGTGCCTTCTAGCTTGCACAGCATGTCAAAATTTCATATCGCGTGAATGTGATATTTCCTGATTTCACGCATTATGTCAGAAGAACATACCCACTTAAGATGATGTGAGCAATTAATCAAACATACATTTCCTCAGTGTGTGCCTGCTAATTTGGAAACCAGTTGCCTGCTTGGAATCGCCAACATTTCTCGGAAATTGTGGTTGCCAGTTTTCTCGGTGTGCCCTCACCCTTTATTTCATGCTTGACAGGATTAACAGTTTCAGCTAACACACATCCTGTGACTATGTGCTGTCTATTTCATCCAAGGTACAAAGCATGAATCTGACAGGACAAAACACAGCAAACACAAAAGCTGCAACTTTTACACACACATCAGATATGTGGCAACTGTAACAAACTCCCAGACCATGAAAAGAACTTGTGACTCATGTGAAGTGAATGTTGTATTATGGTACTTCAGATACAGTATGCAGCAAATGCAATAACGAAGAAAAGCTGTGTGAATTAATGGGCCACCCAGAAAATGAATAAACAGCAATCTGTTCAAGGCAGCTGAGGTTTCAATAACAGAACCAACAGGAAACAGTTTCTGCAAATAAACATTAAAGGAACATGGCAGAGAAGCATGGATAAAATTGCCTCAATATTGTGGCAGATGCCTTTAGAGTAAAGTTTTAACTGCTAAAATTCCTGGCAAATATGTTCACAATACAATTGTTCTGAGAATTAGCTGTTGTTGTAACTGAACATCAGACTCACCATTCAATGTGACCTCATGATACACACCTCATCCTGGTTCCTCAATAAGGCAGCAAGCAGGGCAACAGGATGCAGACATCTGGCACACTGCCGACACCATACCCTGTCAAATTCAGCCACATCTGGATCAACTGGCAACCCTTTGAGCAAAAAGAGCAGCCACATCACTGGTATGTCTGAAAAGGTTCTGCTAAAACAGTTTACATGTAGTGCATGATGTCAGGTAAGTGTTTCGCAGACTCTGCATTAATTTTTTGAAGAGAAACTGCATTAATCTTCCTCTCAACACATTTTTCTTTAGCTGTTAATAGTTACATGGGACATACCAGTGCCCAGTCTATGCTGATGTTAATAATGCCACACAGGGAAAAAGTGACGCTCTCTATCAGACACTAAAACAGTAAGGAGTTTGATATAAAAGTATACACAGAGAAAACCAAGTATATGTTGTCGTCTTGTCAGCAGAATGCACGCCATATTGACAGCATAAAGAATGCAGACGGATCCTCTGAAAATGTGGCAGAGTTCTAATAACTGGGAATGGCAATATCACATTGAAATCTGATTGATTCATGAAGAAATCAAGAGCAGATTAAATATGGGGAATGCTCGCTAGCGCTCTGTTCAGAAACTTCTGTGTTCTAACCAGCTGGCTAGAAACATCAAAATTAATATACAAAATTATAATTTTGACTGTAGTTTTTAAGGGTGAAAAACTCTGTCTCTTAAATTTACAGAACAGTATATACTGATGATGTCTGAGAAAAGGATTCTGGACCTAGGAGGCATGGAGTACTAGGAAGTTGAAGAAAACTGCATAATAAGAACCTTCATAATGTGTATGCCTCACCAATTATTATTACAATGATCAAGTCAAGGACGTTGGGCAGGGCATATAGAACACATGGGAAAGGTGTGCATACATGGTTTTTTGGTAAACAAAATTGAAGGAAAGAGAACACTTAGACATAGATGGGGGATAATATTCATACAGACTTTAGAGGAAGGGGTGTGTGGACTGCAATCATCTGGCTCAGGACGGGGATGAATCTTCAGACTCCATAAATATGGAATTCCTTGAATAGGTGAACAGCTGTTGCCTTCTCATGGACTCAGCTCTATGGAGTTAGTTAACGAAGCTTCATTGTATGTGTGATGCCCACAATAAAGAAAATTGTATTGCCAATAGAACACAAATCAATGGAACATACATCAAATGCTGTGATAAATAATTAAGGGCAGATCCAACTTACCAATGTGGGGGCCTATTCCTAGAGACAGCATAGATTTCATCAGGTCTCCTGCAAATTTCCCTTCCAGAATTTTTCGCAGTTCAGACCAGATGCGTTCTCCAGATACCCTGAGAAGGCCACCTGCATTGCGCTCAATGGCCTCGAATATCCCTTCCTCATGACGGTCTGCTTGTTCTGCAATGCGACCATAGAACCTGTTGCACACAATTGATTGAGTAGTGTCCCTCCTCTCTCACAGAGTTAGTGCACATATCTGCAGCTTTCTGCATGCCAATCCCATGATGTCAGTGCACAAGGCACTATATAAATTATATTGAACCATATCAGAAATTTCTTCAAACCTCAGAGGAACAGTGTGACAATATACATAAACAAAAGTTGGGAAATATGGGTTTGAAATTGTAATGCATTTCAACCATTTTCAGGTATTGCAAGTATCCATCAGAATGGGGCATTCTTTAGCATTTCTAACAGTGTCCCACACTGAGGATGCCACTTTTCACAGTCCGTTTTCCATAGCAGCCACACACTGGATGGCCACTTTTAACAGTCCTTCTATTCTCACCCTTGATGACACAGTCTCTGCTGTGATTACTGAATGGCACGTGGTCTTAGAATCATGCTGAGGTACTGAGATTGGCTTGAGGTCAGTAAAATGGAACCATGTTCAGGATTTGAGTATAAGATTCTCTTCAGAGATTAACGGGCCTAGTTCCTATGAGAGAGGGTATATTGAAGAAGTCCCTGGATCACACTTTAACGATGAAACTGTTGAACTTGATTTATTGTTCACTACACTACACGATCTTACAAATTAGACACTTTAGGTCGCAGGTACAACTGTATACAACACCCAATGGTTGCAATGAATACACTCGATACTTTACGCTGAATGTTACATCTACACACAAATTTGAATATTACTATACTATGTGGTGCGTTCAAGTTCTAAGGTCTCCGATTTTCTCTCTCACACAATAATCGTACAAAAAATTTGAAACTTCTGTCACTTTTCAACATAATCTCCCTGCAGCCGTACACATTTTTCACAACGTTGACACCATGATTCCATGGCCGCTGCGAATGCTTCTATAGGAGTCTGTTTTGACCACTGGAAAATCACTGATGCAATAGCGGCATGACTGGTGAATGTGTGGCCATGGAGAGTGTCTTTCATCATTGGGAAAAGCCCAACATCGCTAGGAGCCAGGTCAGGTGAGTAGGGAGCATGAGACACCACTTCAAGGTTGTTTTCATGAAGAAACTGCTGCGTCACGTATGCCCGATGGGCTGGTGCATTGTCCTGGTGAAAGAGCACATGTGCAGCCTTTTCCAGCCATTTTTCTCACAGTGCTGGAAGGAGCCTGTTCTTCAGAACATCTTGGTAGGATGCATCTGTCACCATAGTGCCCTTTGGAACGCAATGAATAAGGATTACGCCATCGCTGTCCCAAAACATGGCCACCATCATTTTTTCAGCACTGGCGCTTACCCGAAATCTTTTTGGTGGTGGTGAGTCTGTGTGCATCCATTGAGCTGACTGGCGCTTCATTTCAGGATTGAAAAACGGCATCCATGTCTCATCCATTGTCACAATTGATGAAAAGAAAGTCCCATTCATGCCTTCATCACATGTCAACATCGCCTGGCAAATTGCCATATGCGCAGCCTTGTGGTTGTCCGCCAGCATTCGTGGCACCCACCTGGAGGACACTTTCCACATTTGCAGGTCTTCATGCAGGATTGTGTTCACAGATTCCACGGAAATGCCAACTTTGGAGGTGATGTTTTCCACACTCAATCGGCGATCCTCCAAAACAACTTTCTCAACTTGCTCGACCATGTTGTCAGACCGGCTGGTGCAAGGCCAAGATTGTTTTGGTTCGTTTTCACACGATGTTCGGCCTTCTTTGAACTGTCGCACCCACGAACGCACATTTTTCACATTCATGACACCATCACCACGTCTCACTCAACTGGTGATGAATTTCAATGGGTGTCACACTACGCAAGTGGAGAAAACGAATGATTACTCGCTGTTCTTGTAATGAAAACGTCGCCATTTTAGGTATCAAAAACACTCCTCACTCTCACCGCCACCATTAGAGTTCTGTGTGCCATACAGTGCTGCCATCTCTGTCATGCATTCACAAAGAGTGCACACGTATTTTAAACTAAACCGCATGTGTCTATCTGCTACCAGCCTTGAGAAAAAAAATCGGAGACCTTAGAACTTGAACGCCCCTCGTACTGATGCTATTGAATTACTATGTTACTTTGCTGCTGTGCCATCCAAAATCGGCCTTTAAATACTCTTGGATGACATAATATTCCAGAACCTTCTGCATCGAGATTTTTTTTTTGAAGCTTTCACACTGTTTTACAGATTGAGAATGTTCTGGAAGTTTCTATATTTGGGGTGGTGGGAGGAGTAAGTGATTCACATGCCACACTGGCCATCAAGGATCTTTCTAGTAGCTCTCACTTAAACATTTTCTTGCCACTAATTCTAGGAATAGTTACTGCAAAAATAAGTATAAGTCACATTTAGTACAAGACTGATATCAAGTCCTAAGTATAGTATTTAAGAATTAGGCCTCTAAGTAATGATTGGTTATAATTCTTAGGAATCTTATAAACATTAGTTTTAGAAGAAAAAAGAGAAATATAAAAATCTGCATATAAGCGTAGACAAACAATGATCACTCCTTACTAATATACCACTAATAGATACAAGCCACTTCTTCAGTATCTGGTGCCCTTACCGGAAGTATCTCAATATCCTTAGATAATCCTCCTGTATTCGAGTGTCTGCATCCCCAACAAAAACCACCCTCCTCTTGAGAAGATCCTGATAGCCACCAAAGTAGTCAGACAAAGTTCCATCCAGACCTGCAACAGAAGGCAATAAATCACCACACAATAATGTGATGTGTCTCAAAATCTTTTTGCAGTCTAGAAATCTTCTAAATGAGAACCCAGTTTCTTGTAGCAAAGCCAGAAAAATATGCAAGAGGCATTGCAGAGGGAGAGGTGAAAACTGCAATCTTGGCCAAGACTACTGACAAACTCAGGTCAAAAGCTGAATCATATTCATGTGTGATCAATCAACTCCTCACTATGTAGTAGTGTCAGTCCACGTGTTTGTTAGCATGCCTTGGATTTCATTCAGCATGAGGACAGACAGGCAGCAAGAAGTGTGACAGTTTACTATATTAGAAAAACAATACAGGGCTTCCATTTTAGTATTTTGTTATTCATTCAGTTTTCAGAACAGCACCCTCCATAAACACATCAATGACATTACTGGCACTAGGAATGTACTCTAAACAAAGACAAGTACAGTTTAGTTGATAATAACTCTTCAGGAAGAACAAGTGTGGTGGGGCCAAAAAAAAAAAAGACTGATAAACTTCAATTTCATGGTACTGGTTGGGTCTGCAAGAATGATTTTTCATAATCATTTAACTTTTCTAAAACTTGTACAGAATCAAAATTGACAGAGAAGGATACAGGCCTCTCATCCCCAACACAACTGCAATCCTGACATTATACACATCTGACAGACACTTGCTTCATTAGGGCAAAACAATATCTGCATCACCTTACAGAATACAGTAAGCGGCCTCCATAGTCTAGGGGAAATGTTCCCACCTCCTAACTCAAGGTACGCGGATTCAAACCCGGCAGAGATCGTGGAATTTTTAAGGGTGGAAAAATTCAGGGAACAAGTCCTCCGGGAGGGACTTTAAGCCGTGGGTCCCGTGTCGTAGATTTACGACACGCAAAAGAACCTCATGTCTCTAGGAGACCTCTGAGCTAAATTAGGCAAAAAGTTTCCCGCCCAAGTAGTTTCCAATGCCTCCAGTAGATGGGGAAGCATTAGGTACCAATGCCAGAGGAGGGACGACCTCACTGACAGAAAGGGACTAATTATCAGATAGCACTGCCAGTAGAAGGCCAAAACCTCGCTGGCAGAAAGGGGCTGATAGCAAGCTCCAGTACCGCTAGGGTATGGAGACAGTATAAACTAAAAAGGGGGACGTAAAATAGACTATTAGTCGCGGTGCATGGGGAAACCCACCCCCTCAATACTGAATAACTGAATACAGAATACAGTGAGTGCACTAGAGCAGTAGGGACTGCACCATTAAGTAGGAAGACAGCATGGCAGAACTGTCAGATTCCAGCAAGAGAGTCACTTACTGAGGAACATGGAGTTTATGGTGAGATCTCGTCTGTTGGCATCCAACTTCCAATCAGTGGTGAATTCCACATCGGCATGTCTGCCATCTGTCCGCACATCGATCCGCAGTGTTGTCACCTGCAAGCAACAGACTCTCCAGATCACTATTATTTTTTCCTTACATACTCCTCCTAGGCTTTGTGTTCATTTTTGTAACAAAGTAATTTTTTACAGTGAGTTGTTATTCATAACTTCAAGAAGCCTATGATTCAGTTAGGAGGGAAGTATTGTACAATATTCTGATAGAGTTTGGCATACCCATGAAACTAGTTAGGTTGATTAAAATGTGTTTAAACGAAACAAATAGTAAAGTCTGTGTAGGTAAACATTTGTCTAATAATAAATTTCCTATCCAGAATGGTCTAAAAGAAGGAGATGCTTTATCATCACTCCTTTTCAACTTTGCTTTAGAATATGCCATTAGGAAGGTCCAGGGAAACTAGGTGGGACTGAAATTAAACGGGACACATTAGCTGTTGAGGGTGTTTGAGAACAGGGTGTTGAGGAGAATATTTGCACTGAAGAGAGATGAAGTGACAGGAGGTTGGAGAAAACTGCATAATGAGGAGCTTCATAACTTGTACTCTTCTCCAAGTATAATTAGAATGATCATGTCAAGGAGGAGGTGGGCAGGGCATGCAGCACGAATGGGGGAGACGAGGAATGAGTATACGATATTGGTGGGAAAGCCAGAAGGAAAGAGACCACAGCGAAGACCAAGGCGTAGGTGGGTGGACAATATTAGAATTAATCTTAGAGAGATAGGATGGGATGGTATAGATTGGATAGATCTGGTTCAGGATAGGGACCAGTGGACGGCTCTTGTGAACACAGTAATGAACCTTTGGGTTCCATAAAATGCTGGGAAATTCTTGAGTAGCTGTAGAATTTGCAGTTCCTCCAGAAGGGCTCAGCTCCATGAGTGAGTAAGTAAGTATGAAGGGCGTTCTGTATATAATGCCTATTTTTTTGTGTTAATATGTAACGTCTGAGCTGGATGTTAGTGGTGTTGTAGTAAAGGTTGAACCTTCCCACCAATGTACTGTTAGTTTGGTTGTCGTGCGAGAGATAGCGACAGCAGAGCAGTCTACCAAAATGGTATCTGACATAGAAGTGCGTATGAAACAGAGACGTGTTATTGAATTTCCCACTGCCGAACAAATTGCACTCATTGACATCCATCAACACTTGCTAAAGGTGTACAGAGACGATACAGTGGATGTCAGCACAGTGAGGCGGTGGGTAGTGCGTTTCAACAGTGGCAAAAGTGAAGTGCATGATAAGCCACGTCCTGGGCGTCCCTGCTCAGCTGCCACTCCTCACAATGAACAGCACCTCGATTCACTCATCCGTACAGATCAGCAGATAA